GTTTCCAAAAATTGTTCACAACTATTTCGATTCAATGAAAATCCTATTCGAAAACGGTCCTTGAATGTTGCTAATGATCTATACGATCTTCCACAAGTACCAAGGTACATTATCTATGTGCAAAAAATTAATAAACAATAGAATAAAGTGAATATTTCTAACGAATTAACGTGTAGTTAAAAGTGAAATCCTCGATGATCCTTTAATAAAAATCGAGATCGTAACAGAAATTTGTCTTGAATGTTGCAACGATCTATATCTATACTATCGTTGACGAGTCGTAAAAGTGAATAATTCATTTATAGAATGTAACGAACAATCGAGTGAAGCGGAAATTCTCACTGAAATCTTTGGTGGTTGCTTAATAATTATAAAAATCGTGATAAGAATGATCCTTGAAAGTTACTACTATCGTTTTATGTACTACTATACTACTATACTACTATACTACTACTACTACTACTACTACTACTACTACTATTACCATCAATGGAAAAACCAATAAATTATTTAGCTATTGTTAAAGTAGCTCCTGTAGTTTTCAAGATATTTAAAAAAAAAACATGGTATCGCCGGCAACTTTGGGGGCTGTTTTCACTTGTTCGATATGGACGACTGCCGATAAAAAAAAGTACGTGTCAAATAATTTGTTTAGAACTACCTACCATATAAATTTTATGAAAATTGGCTTGTGTCAATTGAATATGTTCTCTTGTCAGCGTAGACACCCGGACTACCCGTTTAAGGGGTAGTCTACTCTACTCTCTTCTCTAGTTTCCGTTTCCAATATCCATTGAATTGCAGTTTTCTGTATTCGATAGCAATGTGAAATCTGGTATGGCTAACTGTAATAGTAATGTTTGTTTGTGCAGTCCGTGTTTACGCCACTGGAAATTACGGCAGCTCTGTTCGCGGCCACCATTCACGACGTGGATCATCCAGGACTCACCAATCAGTTCCTCATCAATTCGAGTGAGTATTCGATAAACGTTCTTCCATAAAGAACGTTAAGAGTCTGTTGGTTATCTCGGACGGTAGTAACGGATGTTTGATAGTAAAATTTCGGAAAGGTGCAAGTAATTTTATTCGAGCATATTTATCTGTTCAGGTTCCGAGCTCGCGCTGATGTACAACGACGAATCCGTTTTGGAGAATCACCACTTGGCGGTAGCGTTCAAGCTCCTCCAGAACGAGGGGTGCGACATATATGTGAGCATAACGACGAAACAACGTCGCACTCTTCGCAAGATGGTCATCGACATGGTTCTGTCGACGGACATGTCCAAGCACATGTCTTTACTGGCGGACTTGAAGACCATGGTGGAGACGAAGAAAGTGGCCGGTTCCGGTGTTCTCCTCCTGGACAATTACACGGACCGTATTCAAGTTCTGGAGAACCTGGTGCATTGTGCCGACCTGTCCAACCCTACTAAACCGTTACCCCTTTACCGGCGGTGGGTCAGCCTGCTGATGGAGGAGTTCTTCCTCCAAGGAGACCGCGAACGAGAACTGAACATGGACATCAGTCCGATGTGTGATCGGCACAACGCGACGATCGAGAAGTCGCAGGTCGGATTCATCGATTACATCGTTCATCCTTTGTGGGAGACCTGGGCGGACCTGGTGCATCCCGACGCACAAGAAATTCTAGACACTCTCGAAGATAACCGCAGCTCCTATTTGTCGATGATCCCTCCGTCACCGCCGTCCGACGATCAACATCAAGGAAACGAACAGCAATCTGATCGGATACACTTCCAGGTGAGACACGCGGATGAATTTGTCGCATAAAAACATGTTGGCGTAGTTGTCGAGTAGTATCTTGATAGTAACTTGAACGACCATTGTTTTGTCAGGTGACATTGGAAGAGGGTGACGAAAGCGGCGACGCCACAGAGACGGGTGATACCGGTGGACTGGGTGAAACTACCCTGCCTAGCGAGGAAGGGGGCGGTGAGACGGATGAGAACGCTGCCGAGGCTGGAATGTGACGGAGGCTCGCGGGTATTTGCAGAAAGATCCACGAGAAGGTGCAGCAGACCTGGTGGCGCGTACGTCAGTGACAGCTGGTTCGTTGTCGCCGGCCGGGTCTCTTTGCGTCGACCTACTGACTTTTGGCCAAGCTCCACTCCCTGGAACGATGGAAGAAACGTTCCCCGTTGGGACGAAGCGAGCAAGGATACGATGGAAACGTCTAGTCGCTGCTAGTTTGGATCTGGACGACGCAGAGGCTCTTTTTTCCGATGCGTCGGGAACGAGAAGAGCAGAAAAAGATAGAAGGAAAGAAAGAAAGAAAGGAAGGAAGGAAGGAAAGAGGCACGAGTAGAATCGAAAGCGAGAGACGCGAGGAGAAGCAACCTCGCACGTTATGGCGATCGTTTTTTCCTCGCTGACGCGGGTCTCAAGACGAGGAACGGTCCTCAATCGCTGCACTTCGGCTGGCTCGAAGCGTATCGAGAGCGTCGAAAGCGATATCCTCGCCTCGTCTCGCCTCGCCTCGCCTCGCCTCGCCTCGCCCCGCCTCCCCACGACTTGACTTGTTTCGCTTCGCCTCGCCTCGCCTCGTCTTGCTTCGCCTCGCTCGTCTCGCTTCGCGATGGGAAAGAACGTATCGTCGTCGTTACCATTGTCGCCCTTTTCTTTTCCGTGTTGTCGTTTGATCGGCCCCGAATCTATTACGCGTAACGAACCTCCAAGGAGGAGACGAATCTCTTGGCCAAGTACCTGTGCGAGAAGCGAACGAACGACTGATACCCAAGAGAACGATACCCCGACACGACTCGAGAGGATACAGGAAATCTCATTTCGCAGTAACAGGAGATCCTTATTGACATATCAATTACATGGTACAAGCTGAGCGGTCGATGCCGCAATCTTCGAACGATTCGATTCGGAGGATCTTCCGCGCTTCCCGGCTGACCCCAAGTCGAAACTCGTCGGTTTCTCTGCGGAGAGAGCCAACATCTCAACCACCGAGTACAAAGAACGAACGAGGAATGAGACTCCACGATGAGAACTCGAGGAGGGGATCAGGGGTAAGAACCGAACCGAAGATTTTAGAGGAACAATAGTATCGCGCTTCACGTTCATCCTTGGTTCTCCGACGAATACCTCGACAGCAACCTAATCGTTAGAAGGTCTAAGCTTATCCCTAATCGTAAGATTTTAAGTCATGCTCGCTGACTAGTATCTAGAGAAAATCGTAACGGTGGACAGAGTCCGATAAAAAGCCAGATGTCACGAATCGGACCGTTGTGTAGATGCCTTTTCTTTCGGTTCTTCATATTACGATTATCGAGTAGCAACGTTCACACACACACACACACACACACACACACGCGCGCGCGCGCGCGTACACGAGACACCGACAGTTCATTTTTAACCAAAGAATAATGTTAGTCACAATCACTACGAAAGAACAAGAAAGACAAACGAAATTCTTCGTCCGAAGAAACCAAGATGATATACAAACGAAACACACATTTCTCGCGAGTAATCATCGCACGTTTTGGCTTCTAGCGATGGTAGATTTAGGAGATCATAATCCGTGACAAAGTGAAAATTAATTAGGTAGGACATTGCAGCTCGATGTGTTTAAACGACAAAAAAAATACATAAGTAACTAATTAATAACGATAAAAAAAAAAACAGAAAAATACTAAGTACTCTCGCTTGGATGTCTGTGAATCGCTCAAATTCGAACGTCGATTCCTCGGGAACACGACGCTCTCTTTCTCGGCGAATGGGGCCACTCGCGTGCCACTTCCGGTCTGCGACGATCGTCCAAGAAAATTTTCTTTTCTTTCCAAGCAACTGTTAATTCAGAAATATTCTGTTCAATTTGAAACGAGCGTTGACATCGTACTGAAATTTCTGTCAATTGTCCTAATCGTTATGTCTGCGGCATTTAGCCGTCTTTCTGTGATCGAAACGTGTTTCTTTTTTTTCTTTTAATAATTTTTATACCCATAAATTGCCACAAAGGTGGACAAAATAAAGAGGTATTGCTAACCGAAGAAACAGAACTCTTTACTTCCTCGCCGACCAGACGCTATCGGATCGTTAAAATTTCTTGTGCGAGATTTATACAACTAATTTATAAAATACGATGAAATGATGCGCAAATGGGCTCAAATGGCGTATAGTAATAAATAATCGAGACCCACTCGAGAAAGAAGCGAAAATGTATCTGTGTCGTAGGCAGTGAACCTAGTGAATGTTCATTTTTTGTTTGTTTTGGTGCTGGCCACCAAGCTTAGTTCGTAAAAGTATTACGTAAGACTACGAGACTAGATATTAAGATGAAGATTAACTTAAACGAACTTTTTAGGCCGTAAGCAACGAGGTTATTAATGATAATTAACGTGTAACCGTAACAAAGAAGAGAAATCGAAGCGACGCGATATGGCTGTACGGACACTTTTTCGCGGGAAAAATCGATCGATCACCGCGGGATTCTTTGAAAATTCCGAAAATTCTGCTCGAAATGCAAATCGAAAGAGAAAAAGATAATCATGTAGGGACAACGGGGAAAGGAAATTCTGTTTGACTGAGAACGACCGATCAAACGACAAACAAAAGGTTTTATCGATTTTTCCTTTTCCAGTCTCCCAAATAAATTTTTATTCTATTTACTCCGTGGCAACCAATTTTCTTTTTCGATATCGTTTATAGCTGTAGCATGGCGATCACTAATCCAGTGATTGTTTTATCATGAATGACAATGCCGATGAATTCACACGATGCATGTGCTTGTATTAATTACGATGACACTGGTGACGACGATGACGAATAACAATATGATCACGCTGATGGTTGCGAGACAAATAGAGATAAAAAATACAACGTGTTTGATTGCTGGACAGTTAAATGAACATGTATTAATATCGTGTAACCCTCGTACGAGATGTATGTGTAATAAAACATATTTATTGTCGGAACTGTCAGGTCCATTTTATTTTCACGTTTACTCATTCATTCATAAAAATGAAGAAATTTTGACATATTAGTTGATTGCTAATTACGTAATAGCAATCAACAATCGTGACAAGAATAGTCCTTAAATGTTGCGGTTAATCCACTTTTTCATAAAAGTTTATAAATTATCTTTAATTGCAGTAGCTATCCTTGGCTTTCATATCCCATCCACACACACACACACACACCCGCGTCACGTACACAGTCAGTTGAGCTTGGTGCGTTTGTTCGATAGATGGCGCGTCGGTCGACGATGGTGTGGTGGACGCACTCATCGTCGTCGATAAGAAGATTTATGAAGACCGTCGATAAAGAACTAACTGTTAACTCGATGATACTCGATGTTATTCATTTGATTGTCTTTTGTGAAACATAATTTAATTTTGTTTGTCTTTCAAATATTTTAATACACTTTCTGTCAATCCATTAAGCAAGAGAGATCATTTAAAATAAATACCAGAAATTGTTATTCAATCAAAACTTTTATTTAGTCTACATTAAAATATAATATGGGTAAACCTTCCCCATAATGATCTGTCGCTGGGGATAACGACTACAAACTTGAAATGACATCTTCAAATTTCTATTAACAGGAACAACACCAATCGATATCATCCGACAGCAGATGTAACAATAACAATTGAATTGTAGAAAATGGGCATCTATGTAGGTTGTAGGCAGTCCCAATCAGTCGCGATACACTCATTTAGCCATCACTGTCGGTTAAGTAGAGCGGACAAGGTCGCCAATGGCAGACTAATTTTAGACTACTTTTTATTTTTCAGGCTATTGCTCTTTAATTTTTTACTTGTTTATATTTCTAAATTAATGGGACGAATATTTATGGGAATCATGTTGAGAATGAAAGAGAAGAGATGAAAAGAAAACGGGCCTGACAGTTCCTGCCCCTGGTTGTTTTCATTATATATAAACATTCATTTAAATAAGTAAATACATTCGATTAAAATAACATTTGTTTCATTTTTATTTCGTAGACCGCTAATTTTTGTAACCTCGGGTGAAAATTCGAATAACGAATTTCACTAGATGCAATACTAGTGACTTTCTAGTGTATCTGCAGTTATGTAGTAACATTTTATTTTCATCGTATGCACATATGCATACAGTTTGCTCACCAATCGAATCAACGTTTTACAAAATTTCAAACTCAAATTCGCCAACGTACACATTAACCGATTATAAGCTTTCTCTGTCTTCGAAAGGTAAATATTTAAGGAAAACAGAATCTCTTTTGAAAGAATAGGTTGGTCTTACGGTTTGTGAAGAAATTATTGAACAAGTAAACTGTTGATAAGAAGAAACTGTGAGAATGATATAAATTTCAAGTGCTACAAATATATTTTCAAGGTGCATATAATTTCGGTCATGTACCAAGTAAGTATTATTTTTAATTGTGTTTATATTTAGTTTTCCTTGCAGATTATGTTCGGATATTATCCAGTGTGCAATAGTTTACTGTAATCTCTTAATAATTTTATCGATTCGGTAATCACATTTTAATGATGGACAACTATTGCGCCCCACAATGGACAGATTTTACTGCTAGTCCACAACTACCCTCTGATAGTTATTTTGAGATAGAACATGAAACACACAAACCATTGGTACACTTCAAATCAAACATAAAGACCGATTTACCTATTCTGTGGATGGAAGAGTGTGTAAACAAACAATCGATTTCAGAAACAAATTTTGATGATAGCTTAGACACTGTGCAAAATACTAACGATAATACAGCATATTTTATACCATTGGGTAACACAAAACATTCTGTGGACCAAATAAAAAATGAAAACAGACTGAGCAATGCTATGGAAAGCTTGAAACTGGATGAAAAATCATGTAAAATTGATTGCGCGTGGAATGTATGGTTAACGGGAGGAACAAATTCGCTTAAGGCACCGATCCTGCCTCGTAGGCTAAAGACAGCTTTATCCAAGAAAAATTGGCAAAACATTCGCACATCAGAAATAAACAACACTGATCCATCTTCTTTGCAGAATAAACAAATAATTAACAATGTTAAGAAGAGTAACCGTGAACAAATTGCTTCCGCAAAGACAAAAACTGAACCATCGATTAAGTCAGATTCTAATTCTTCTGCAAGTTGTAGAGTTAGTTGTACAGATGAAAGAGCATCTTATAAAATTATCTCAGCTCGACGAGAACATTGTAAACCCTTTAAAGGCAAACAGTCGCAACCTAAAGTACTTACGTGCCAGTATCGCAGGGCAAGTCTTATAGAGGCACTCAAGTCTTCCAACAAGTTTATAAGTATGGCAGAGGCGGTATCTAAATTTCAGAATAAAACACCGCAACGATTTCGTACCATCAGTAATAAAGATTTAAAGCCAGGTTCCTTCATGAAATTGAAACAATCTCCACTGAAACTAACCAATCCAATTTCTCCTGCACTGAGAAGCAAAAAAAGGGCAAGACACACGACTGTTTTAAGTAAAGAAGAACGCGAAGCTGTGCAACTCGAAGAAATGAAGAAACATCAAATAAAAGCAAAACCTGTACCGCTTAATATCTTGAAGGGTCCAGCACCTTTAAAGAAAGTTACGAAAAAACCGATCACGGTTACGGAAGAATTTCGATTGACTCAACCAAAGAAGCTGATTTCTCACAAATCAGATTCACAAGTAAATATACAAAGTCAATTCGATAATAAAGAACAAAGCCATCTAAACACAGCGTCGATTGTTCGTTCCGTTAGTGCTTCAAATGTTGCCACCAAAAAGGAACCGAACCCGCGCAAAGAACATTCCATCAACACTAATGCGAAACCTGCGACAAGTGTTTTGCCATCCAGTTTTGCAGTGCGTAACAAAGAATTTCAAATGAGAAAAGAGGAAAAATTGAAGAGTTTACAGATTCAAGAGACCAATAAAATGAAGGTAGAGTTTCATGCACGACCTGTGCCAAAATTTTTAAAACCGCCATTGTCGATTAAAGATCAGAACCTGAAAAGGCGAACCGTTGCTTCGTGTCCATTCAGTTTTGCAGAAAGAGACAAAAATTTAGCCAAGAAGAAAGAGGAACACGTTAAACAGATTCACGAAAACAATAAAAAAACACGAGCATTTCATGCCAATCCTGTCCCAAGGTATAAACCACGTGGGTTATCGAAAGAAAATGTACGAGGCAAGGAGAAAGATGCGAATTCAACAAGTTAACAAGTTTCAAAACATACAACTTTTCACATCCATTTCCATATCCAACTTAGTATCTATTTTATAATATATATTTCTAATGAATGTATCGCTAATCTTTTCTTGTATAGAATATTATTCAAACATTATTTCATTAAGGTATAGTAGAGTCAAATGTATTAACAAGATATTATTTTTTTCATATATTATTGCATATAGTAATCTTGATATAGAATAGTGCAATCAATCTCTGGATTTTAATTAAATGTATCTCTCCTGTAATTCTCCCTTGTCATTTTTTAATTCAAACCACAAATATTTTTTCCACCTAATTGTACTGTACTGATTTCACTGTCCAGTAACATTGTATGTAAGTAATTGTTAATATTATTGTTACTATCTGAACAGAAGTAAGCAAGTATGGTCACAATTTGGAAAAGATTTCAAAGGAATTATTCTAAATGAAATTTACCGATAAAAACACGTCCAACTTATAATAAGTATTTCATATGATAGTTTATTAAATCGCTTATATAATAATCAAGTATCTTATAATTTCATATAAACATTCTGATTTATTAATCTAAGTGACCATACCTTTTGAAACCCTTTGTATACCTCTGTGATTAATTGATTATGATATGGATTGCTTCGATGGAAGAATCTATCCGCAGTATATCAACGTTATTAAATATTGCTATTAAATTTAATAAACTAAGCGTTTAACGATTCGTTACAAAATCTGACGATAGCTCTTACGGCTAAACATGAGGTAAGCAAGTTTATTTTGTTTAGCTTTATTATCGTTATTCCTTTTTTTCTTTTTATAAGATGTGTTCCCTACTGACAAGATTGTAATGGTTACTTTAGTTTTATATCACATAAAATATATAATAAATTTATATACTAAGAATATTATATAGCTTCAACAACGTAGTTCAATTTATTTCGAATGTACAAAGACCACACTATTATACATATCTACTTTCTTTAATTCGCATCAGTCCAAGGAATAAAAAGTCAGTTCTTGAGACAATTTAGTTGTAAAATGGTATATTAAAATTGGACACCGACGAGGCTGGCGATGCATTCAGTCGTGAAAAATTTACAAATTTTATTTAGTTTGAAAATTAGATCTGTCCCGGCCAGTATATAAATTCCAATATTAATTTATCGCGAATATAACAAATACATTATAAAATTAAAAATGTTTCCCACAAGTCCCGCTGTTCGTCTTTTCGATAATAGAAAACGAGCATCAGAGACGTTGTTTCCGTTTGATCTCTAGTTTTAACTACATGTTTTTTTTTTTTTTTTTTTTTTTTATAGAAGTTATAAATATCTCGTATCTTTAGAAATGTATTTATAAATTATTCGATGTAAAACAAATTACACTTATCGATATACATAGTTGATACTAATTGAGACTTCCGAATATAAGTCATGTTCTTTGCAAAAGATACTACTTACAATAGTTTCGCTAGCATTGCAACTAGCTTCTTCAAGGTGTTGAAGGGTTAAATGACACTGACATATATTACTGTATGCCTAACCTCACTCTGACATGGTTAACCTAGTATATAGATATATAGGTCCAGGTTAGGTCACGTTAGGCTGCGTTAGCTATGCATTGGTATGTCAGTGTCATACGTCATTGGACCTTCGAAGAAACTAGCTACAATGCTGACGAAATAACCAAGTAGCTTATGCAAAGGACACAGTTTACAACCATAAGCCTCGGTTAGTATCAATCATGAAGAACCGGGCCGTGAAAGCCTCAAGTATCTTATTAATATATGTATTTTCATGCTGAAATATACACCATGAATAGTAAATATTATCCGTCTTATTGGGAAACAGAAAATTTGCAAATTTATGATGTACAAGTCAGCTTTCTAACTCCAAATAATGTACAAATTACGAATCGATTCCATAACTACTCACACAATCATCAGATATTCGACGTTTGAAATGCATTAAGAAGACTGTTCGAAATAAAATGCAGAATAACGATTAGTGTCGATGGTGTATCGAATACAAAACAATGACTTCCTTTCATAGCAGTTTAGACTTTGCGTGTTATGCAAGTATGACGTATCAAGTAGCCATTCCTCTCGGATATCATTTTTAGGTAGTAGTATTGTACATAAAAATCATTTAAAATCGTGTAAAGATACTATGCATGTTTCACATATTTTCTGTATAAATTATATTCAAAGTGTCAAGTAATATTTATGTGGAGGCAACATCGGCACACGGTTTTTGCAAAATAGAAGAAAATGGCAGACTCATTGTACAGATCCCAAAAAGTCGTCTCGTCAAAGCTCCTTAAGAAGAGCTGATTTCGCGTTTTTCAGTTTATCCAATCGCCTCTGGAGATGAGAATTTGCCGTCTCCAACTCTTCCACGCGACCTTGAGTCTCTCTGACCTGTCAAACATTTTACAATTTCCGATTCAGGAATATATTAATCGAACGAATAAACAACGAAGAAATGCATTCTCACTTCTCTTTGTAATTTTCTCTTTTCGACTTTCAGTTCGTCTTCTGCTTTCTCGGATGCTTCTGCCGCCGACTTGTAACGTATCACTTGACTTTCTAGCCTAGCCACTGTGGCTTGCAACGTGGACATATCTTGTTCTGCTTTTTGAATCTTAAATTTATAATCTGCCAGGAGTTTATTTGCTTCTCGTTGCACGTCTTCGCTGTCTGATAAACAACCTGTGGAAGAAAACACGATATTCTCACAATTTTGATTTGTCATTAAAATGCAAGAGTTCGGGTAGCATAAATATTAACCTAATACTGAACCGGGTGATCTTTCGGATCTAATACGATTTCTGGTCTCCTCCAATTCCAATCGTAAGTGGCGTATTTCATCCTGCAATTCCTTTTTTTCAGAAGCAAATTTTCTCAGCCGAACATCTGTAATTTATTAATTTAAAAGATACGACTTACATTCGGAACCTTAACATCAACTATGAAGAACCAGGCCGTGAAAGCCACAAACATTGCATTCTGTTATTTAAAGGTGCATCATAGACAAATACCTAATGAACCTTTTCCAGCATTTTGCAATAATTCTGCTGCTTCCGTACTGACTAGTACTCTTCGTCTCGGACGTGGACCATTTTCAACGTCATTATCTTCGTTTTCGCTTTCCTCGTCATCAATAATAACTAGACCATTCTCCTAAAAACATTTCGATTTGAATATTAGGATAACAACAATCAAATTGGTTACATATTACATTATTAATTAGCTTAGCGAAAATATTAATTTTTACATACTTGTATAAGCGTATCTCTTTCTATTAGCTGGGCATGGCATATATCTAATTCATCTTTTAATCTCTGACTGATTCTTTTTAACTGTTCAGAGTCCCGATTCTTCTCTCTAAGTTCCCTGCATAGTTGTGCAACTGTTTCTTCCAACTCTTCCAGCTTGTCTTTCAATAAATCAACTTGATAGGCATAAGAAGACTTTTCATTGTCTAACTGAGCATTAGCTATCATTGCTTTTCTAAATTTCTCCTCAAATTCCTTCAACTCTAACTATAAAGAAAATCAGAACTTGGTTATGAAATACCATTTACTAATAATAAAACATAATATTGTAAACAGTACCCTGAGGTCTCTGCTTAGGCCAGCATCTTCCAAGGAATCTTCGGAAGATCTACGACTGGATTGAAAATTGTTAGAGTTTGTAAGGAGACGCGATGTCCTTACAGAATCAGGAGTTACTCTCATTGTTCTATTGACGTCGGCTAAAACATTTGAAAGAGAAATAATTTATACGGTATTATTTTATAATACTTTTTATATTTCTTTGGAAAATATCTCTACTTTTTACACAGAATGCACCATTTCTTTGACGGTTGCAAATATTTTTATCACGATATTTCTTATATCTCAAACAAATACCTGAACACATGTCGTAAACTCTATCCGCAGTCTCCTCTGCCTCTTTTTGCAGTCTTTCTAATTCGCGCATCCGTATCTCTCTTGCTTCTGCTCTTGCTTGTCTTCTAGCAGCTAATCTAGCTTCTGCCTGAAAGTATGTATGGAAAATCCATCCTGTTACCAAAAACACATTTTCACATTCAATTTATTATTAACACATTGATGCATGATATATAAACACTCATAAATGTATTAATGTATGGTATTTGTTAAAGTTCATGTGAAAGTAATGTATGTATGTGCAATTAGGAGACTCGGTCACTTTGGATTGGTAAATACTTACATTTGTTTCTTTTGTAATTAACAAATAAAATACTACTAACGTTAATAATTGTGATACCTAATACTGCAAATATTCTTTTTGTTCGCTATACATTCTTACTTTGAGATAAACTTATCACGAATGATGTAATTCCCTATCCAATGTAACAATACACACAAGCACCAAGGTCAAGCACATGTACAGCAACATTTGTTCATATATGTTTAGCACGTTGAAAAACTACAACTCGATCGACAATATACATTCATATAATCTTTTATAATCAACCTGATATCTATAATAATAAGATTGTATATATGAGAATTTTTTTTTCGTGGATAATTATGCCTTCTAACATACTTCAGAACAGATAAAATCAATCGTAAAGTACATCATTTCCTTTCTTTATTCTATTTTTTGCTACAAATTCTACCATGTGGCTTGCTTATACAAAAAATCAGGCCATACCTCCTTGGCAATCTGATCGAAAGCTTGATCCTCTGCTGAATGTCGCGTAGCAGTCCGTCTACGCCCAGCTATAGCAGATTCCATTTTGTATTCTGTGCTTTAATACACACTTTTCGCTTTGATACCAGCAACTCACGCTAGACAGATCCACGTCCTTTATCGCGCAAGAAGACAAACCACCACACTAAAGGACAAAGGGACATATGCTAGAGCCAGAAGTTTGCGAGCATGTTTTAAGCATGATTACCATTAATATGCATAACGAATGACTTGTTGGCACCACTGGATGTATCATACAAATGAAAAAATGATGTTTATAAAGCATTAACGTTAAAACATTGCAGGGAAACTTATTTGAAACTAAATTTACTTTTAAACTGTTATTTATCCACTTTTTATCTGGTTATTCGCGGATATTATGTAAATGTATATACGCTATAACTATTGAAAACGATACTGTTTTTAAAGGAAGAACATAAATTTTCAAATAAGCAGTTCCGAGCATATGCTTAAGTAAACTTTTTCGTTAAAGATTCCATTTTCTATTAAATTTTACGTTAACACCCTTTTATTCGTTAAACCTATCTCTGCATTAATGGTGGCATTTTTTGAAAGTATTACAGCTTGAAAACTTTTATTTCTCGTATCTCTTCTAGACCTAACCTAGACATATACATTAAATTTAATGTTAACAGGTTCGATTAGTAGATAAGAACTGTAACTATTATTGTAGTAGATTACAACACCCTTATAATCTTACATCTTCTATATATTAATGGGTTATTCTCGTTTATAGGAATAAACAACCGAATAAATATTCGAACAAGTCCCGTACTTTCTATGAGTTATAGGTTGACAATACCCGGCGACATGCGAGAGTGGTCTTGTTAGGGAATGGTAAACTGAATTTAGCACAGGTAAAAATGGTCCTTCGTGTTCTAACGTTACAATGTTTTCACGCTAAGAATAACACCTTTACAGTACAGGTCTAATTACGTGCTTGCTCGCACTTTGCATATCACTTGGCGATCAACGGTGAATCCACAATTGACCACATTCACAAGAATTCGCGATGCACGACACGGATATCATATCTGTATGAAACAGTGTTACCAGATTTGATGCTTTTTCCAAGCATGCGCATTAGAAAACAGCGGTGTATGAAATCAGTATTACGGGCACTAACGACTACCGGACCCAGAAAAACGAAAAGGCTTTTCTTCTTATTTTTAGTCAAAATAAAATTTTCATAGCTTTGGTAAAGGTGTTGCATTGGGTTCTTCAAATATTCAGGTTCTTTAAAGCATTCTGTACCCAACAACATTTTTTTTAGTTTCTGTACAAAAGGATTTTACAGCCGAGATACCGTTAACATCGATACAACGATAAAGTTTCAGATAGCTCAGTTCGCTCAGATAATTAAGTTACTTCAACATCGTTCACTCTTTTAGCTTCTTTATTGTTGTACAAAAATGTTTTAATTAATTTCTAGGACAATCTGAAAGGAGCCCGAAAGATAATCCCTTCTACTCCGTCAAGGCACGTTACTGGCACCATGTCCAACGCGCGTGCGCGAAAAGAGTATATCGCATCTGGTAGCACTGCATGGGAACATGAATTCAGAAATAAAATGTGGCAAAGTTGCATATTCGAAGGCGTATACAGGCTGTATTAAAATTAATTATTCAAATTTTTCATACATATAATACTCGTAGAAATGAACAAAAGAGTGTTAGCGAACGCTTTTATCTTTTTTCGACAAGTGTACGTATAATGTTGAACGTACATGAAAACGGTCGAAGTAAGTACTACATGTATCGAAACGAGTCGAAGACATTTCAGGCAATTACCGTGACGAATCAAATTTTTCTTTGTAAACTGTCTAAAAAACTACTAGATGTGACTTGGATTCGTTTCATTGTTTTGTTTGTTTCAATGATTACAGACAAGTCACTAGCATTCTCGATAATACAGGGAAAATGCCACGGATAAAAAAGTAAGGTTGAATATGTTAAAATGTTATCTACTTAATAATGTTTTTAAGCTTTCTAATCTGTATTGTTGTTATTATTTCCGTAGCTATCTTCATGTCATTTTCTTCTGTATCGTTATCGCGAAACGAGATACGAGAAACGAGCAACGAAGTTTTCGTAGACTAACCTCTTCAAGAAGAAATTATTTTGTTTTTAAACGATCAAAAATAAAACAGAAATCTCGATTATTCACGTTAATCAGGAATAAAAATTCAAGGGATAAAGAAAATACTGTATAATACAATGTAGCTGCCATATCTTTTTACTCTAAATGTTCGTATATTATTATATCTTGTTGATACTTGAACGTTTAGGGTTATAAAGCCACGGTTAATCGAATCGAACAAATATTTGTATTAATCGCGAGAGATAATCGATATTCAACTCAAAATTTGGCTCGTCAATTTCAGAACAGCCTGTATATGCGTACATATACATGTATAGATATTTAATAGACTCGCACACCCACACATCACAGCTGAACACATGCAAATTAAGACCTTACTGTATACTGTATCGTCAACCTTTTTTCCACTGTTTCTCTGACCGTATTCCTATCAAATGAGACTTACGGATGTAGGAAATTGCTGTCAGCCAGCGGATAGGCGCATCTTTTCCCCAAAGGAACCGCGTGCGAAAATAAACCGGGAGACACTATAAATACAATCGATGGAAATCGGATGAGTTCACTACGATGACCATCAGCGGGCCGAGAATCGGAATCGACGACACGACGACGATGCGGTTCCGGTGCTCGATTAGAGTTTAGAGTCGACCACGGTCCATGTAATACGTCGAATACATCAAATGTATCCTAAAGGCGAGAATGTCACGCGCGAGCCCAGACAATGCGCTCTTCCTCTCTTCTATTGGCAACAACTCGCGAAAACGATGTGCTGGCTCGCACTCGAATATAGCGGAAGACACATTTTTCGATCGAATGAATATACATATATGTATCCTGGGACCTGGCTGGGAGTTGGAAGTTGGGAGTTGGAACGGTGATGCATGCGAATGTGAAAGCACACACACAATCTGCGCCGCGCCTCGAATCACCGAAATTGGTGGAGTCATCTGTGTTCCTAGTAGCACAACACACTTTATCCTTGCACACTTACCGGCAACCGTTCGACTATATACTTCACATTTCAAATACATTATTATCGACTGAACTATGTCGAGGATCGATTGTTGTAATATTAAAATGCTTCTTTAATCTAATGCACGCAAGAAACTACGTTTACACGATCTAGTAACGCTAACGTTATAACATTTTTTCCATCTAGGGGAAAATCATCAGAGTTGCTATACCAACCGCAATGTAGATCGAAGCTCTTCGGAGTGATGGGCAAAACCCTAGGCTTCGAATAAATCTGAAGTTTGGTGATATGTTCGTCTCGTTTCCTCTTTTGAAAATTTTCCAAAGAAGGAAACGAGACAAACATATCGACAAACTTCAGATTTAATCGAAGTCTAGGGTTTTGCCCATATCTGATGCTCTTGTCGGAATTTCTATTGGGCAGGTTCTCATTGTCTAGTACCAGGCTGGTCATTTTTTTTCCACATGAAAATTTCCCAGTGTGTTTATATCTCCAACGTTATTTGTCTGTATAAACGATCTCGCTATATACGCTATATAGTTGATGATAGTCGACGCATATGCTTTTCATTACTTCTGTTACATACGGCCTACGTTTTTAGAATGTTTGAAACGTAACCTCTTCAAAACTTGCAATGTGGCACTCCTTGATTTAACATATTTTAGCCTACTACTCCAAAAATAAACTTATTTAAATGAAAGCGATGATCACGGCGTAGACTTTCGGAGATAAACGTGTCGGAATCAATCAATGTTAACCTGTCGACAGATATGATTGTACATACATAGCGGATAAAAAATAAGAAACAAAAAGATGAGAGTGTCATTAGTCATTTTTGGAATTTTATCGTTTTTCGATGTGTACAGATTTACGAACGCTTGGGATAATGACGAGTTGGAGGTGTTCGACGTTGTCGAGGAAGTTAATCAAAACTTTTACCAAGTCCTCGGTGTTCCACAGGTTTGTCTCCTATAAGGTTTACTTTTTAAATTAAAATATGCCGATAATACACTGTTTATCGAAACATATTTCAGGCTGCGAACGCTTCGGAGATTAAAAAGGCTTTTAGGCGATTGTCCCTCCAATTGCACCCAGACAAAAATCCTGCAGAAGATGCAGAGCAGCAATTTAGAAAAGTAAGTCGCAAGTTTTTCGTATCCCAAACGGTTAGCGTTGATCTTCGATCGAACGGAACGGTTTATGCCAAATATTCTACCTTTATTTTTAGTTGGTCGCCGTGTACGATATATTGAAAGATCCTGGAAAAAGGCAAAGATACGACAATGTGCTCATTAACGGATTGCCGAATTGGCGATCAGCTGTATATTACTACCGCCATGTGCGGAAAATGGGTCTTGCAGAATTAAGTATAATTTTGTTCTTAGTTATTACAGTTGGACAATATCTAGTAGCTTGGGCTGCATATTTTGAGAAGAGATATACATATGTATGTAAAATAGTCGTTGAAAAATAAACAATATTTGGAAAATTTCAGAATACAATATATATGTTTCAGGAACAAGTGTTAGGTAGTAAGCTTCAGAAAATGCAAAAAAAAAATAAGAAAGGAAAAATGGATGTGCCAGATTTAGCGGATATTTTAGAAAAGATTCCCACTCCAAGCATCTGGAATACACTTCCATTTCAATTTCCACGTTGGATAATAGCTTTTACGTTATCTGTCCCTAATCTTGTGTGCGTCATGCACGACGTTTTAGAAGAGAGAAAACGCAGGAAAAAGCAGGAAGAAGAAGAAGCATTGTGAGCAAATGAATATCTGATTTCAAACTTGACTGTTGTCTTTTCGTCAGTGTGCTTAGAATATCTTAAAAAATATTGACTATTTCAGAGCACAAGAGATCGGAGAACCAGAACCAGAACCTGTATCTCGTACTAGAAGACGCAGACCTGGTTTTACTCCACAAGAAAGAAACATTAACAATGTTAAAGAAGCTCCAAAGAGGAACTGTGATCAGACAAACCATGTGTATCAGAAGCCTACTGCTTCGGGTGGAGGTCTGTGGACTGACGATGACATATTAGAGTTAATAAAACTTGTAAAAAAATACCCAAGCGGTATATCAGAGCGATGGGACAAGATTGCGAATGCTATGAATCGTACAGTTGCAGATGTTACGTATATGGCAAAGAAGGTTTATACTTCAATTAAATAATGTTTAAGTCGGTATTTCTCAAACTTCACCTTCTCGTGGAGCTCTTTGATATATTCGCTATGGGGTCCATGGACCATAGTTTGAGAAACTGGCTTACAGAATTTCATATACAGTTCTTATGCAAAGTACACTTTTATTAGGTGAAAGATGAAAGGTTGAAACCATGCGTGTCTACAGAAGAGATAGCTGTGGAGGAGCGTCCAAAAAAGATAAAGATACGCGTTGAAAATATAGATAATATTACCGACTGGAGTCAAGAACAACAGAAAGCATTTGAAACAGCGCTCATAAAATATCCCAAAGGCATGTCTCTAGATAGATGGGAAAAAATTGCAAATTGCGTTCAAGGAAAAACAAAGGTATAACATTTATACTTTGTAATATACTTTTCATTTAAACAAAATTGACTATGATTTCTGATACGTTCCAAAGGATGAATGCCAAACAAGGTATAGGCAATTGGTGGAATTAGTAAAGAAGAAGCAACAAATTCAGTAGCCTGCCATGTACAAGATGTTCCTTCAACAAAAAGTGTAGTCCGTACAATCAAGTCCAAATATAGTATTCAATTTATATCTCATGAAAATGAATATTTCATGGCTGTTGTACATTTCATATGAGTGAATTAAAAATCTCTTAAAAGATTTCTTAAACAGAAATGGAGATTAAATTACATTGCGAATGATGAAACTTTATATACAAACAAAAGAATATTGCTCTTACATGATATTATTATTAAATGTTTCTGGAGAATGTATTTATTTAATAAATTTAATAATTAATTAAGAGGTAAAGACTGACAAGGTACGATGATTGAACACTTTCCTGTTCTTTGAGACTGACATTGTAATTGGATTGGTATTTGTCCAATGAAATGTGTATTTTACTTTTTAAAATTATAAAAACTTATATCATACTAATGCACATAATATTTCGTCATAGTATTAATATAATTTCTAACTAATCACATCAAATCAATTGATATTGAAGTTATGATTAATACTGATTGAGATTTTCGATTGTAAGCCGTGTCCTTTGAAAGAGATACTCCGACATTTCGTCACCATTGCAGCTGGTCTCTTCAGAAGTCAAGTGGTATGTACACTGATATATCCGCTTCTAGTAGACTTAATCCAGACCCATCCCAAACTAATATGATCTTACACGGATCTATCTGCCAATTAAGTGTAACGTGACCTACCCCAATCTAAATCTAACCTGATACATAAATCAGTCAGGGTAGGTCGTGTTAGGTATGTTAGATGTGGATTATGTTTGTTTAGGCTGGCTAGAGGAAGATAGGTTAGGTTGTATTGATATGTCAGTTTGTCATTTGACTGTTGAAAAAACTAGCTGCAACAATATGGTGAAACGTCGGAATATTTTATCTAAAGAACATGTCTTACACCCCGAAGTTCCAGTTAATATGTGCATACATGATCTGCAAATCACATCATCTCTATTGTACTCTTTCATAATAACTGCATACCTCGTTGCAAAGAAAATTCCGTCTTGCATATTTTTAGAAACTTTATAAATTGTCTAATTTATCATGAAACAGTAGTACCTGTTCCCGCATTATCATTGTAAACATTTCAAATGTTATAAATTTACATTCTTAACATAATAAATACAGCAATTATAAGTATACACATAATATTAAAACACACAATAATTTATCTTATTTATATAAGAGATAATAAATGTTATTCAAAACTTTAATGTAAGTATAAAATACCATTATCTCTATGATAAGTGTATTTCATAATTCTGTAAAATATTAAAACATTTTCTGTCTGAATGGAGAGAGTATATTGTCTACTAATTACCAAAATAAGAAAACGGCGTGTGATAATTGGATATGTTCCCTTGTAAGTTAAGTGACAAAATGATCACTACATCTGTGATTTAAGATTCTTTTTAATGGATTTGCCAGTTAATTACGTCTTAATAATTCGAAATTCTGTACAAAACTATTTACAGATTGTATAATAAATATGCCTTAATTACGTCTTCTACGAACTCTGGATATTCGCCAAGCGTTCGGCTCCTCGTACTTATTGTAAAGCGGTTCGAGTCGTTGGTTTTTCTTGAATTTACTGAGCTTAGTCGGATCGCTGAATTTAAAGAATGCTGGAGCAAACTCTACCAACCATTTAGGATCAATGGTAGTTACCTCTCTCATATATTCTTTAGTAGTTTGCACCAATTCGTGATAAATAACCTGTAGAAAATTAAAAATGGAATGTATATATATTTTGTTGTATAATGTTTTTAAAAGTTTGTTTTGTTTTCAATATTAAACTTACCCATTCTGGTTGCCTATTAAATAAAGCACTACTCGGATGAATATAAACAACTTGGCTGTCTACTAAAGTTCTGTATCCTTCTTGAGGATCTTTCTTCGCAGCATTTCTAAAGAACCCTGAACATACAGCTTTTTGAATCCTTACTGTATTTTTCCCAGCAGACACCACGTCCAATTTATGCCTGATAAACAAAACGTTATCGGTTCACATTAAGTTAGAATGAAGATGAATAGATTAAATCGAGTCACGTTGAAAGATCGGTTACCTATCCATGATACCTAATAGCTGTTTCCGAACGTCTTGGGCGCGTTTTAAAGTCCTAATTTGCACGAAATTTTCGTAGCACCAAGCGTTACTAAATTTATTATTCCTCCAGGAATTGTAAACCGCTAATAGAGTTAAATGATCACCCTCAGGCTGATTGAATTTTGCTTTCTTTTGATCAGCCAAGGCCTGCTTATCCTTTGGTCTGTAAATAAAACAATGAAATGGATCATAAAAAAATTATTTTTAATGATTATTTTATAAGGTAATTTTTACCTGTAGAAAACGTTTTGGACAGACAGCATGCTAACAATGGTTAATATCTCATCGGAACATTGAAGATGCACGCTCATAATGAGCATTTTTGATAAATTCGGTTCCAATGGAAACTCCGCCATTCTTCTGCCCAATCTAGTTAAAAGACCTTCGTTATCTAATGCGCTTAAGCTATGCAACGATTCCAAGGCCATGATTAACGATTCCACAGGTGGAGCATCCATAAAATCAAAGTGTAACAAATCGTTAATACCCATTGTTTTTAGTTGCAATACTGTAGTTGCTAAATTGGTACGTTGAATCTCTGGTACTGGTGTAGGTAACATTTCATCTCTAGGAAAAGTATAACGTATCAATTAAATAATTAAAACTATCATATTTATCTTGTTTGTCGGCGATAGATACATACCTGTAAGCTCTTTCGGTGTAAAGTCTGTAACATTTCCCTGGACCAGTTCTGCCGGCTCTTCCTGCTCTTTGTTTGGCAGCTGCTTGGCTTATCGGAGTCACTATGAGACTATCCATTCCTGTCTTAGAATTATATACTTTTTGTTTTACAAAGCCTGGATCGACCACATAGTAAATTCCATCGATAGTCAAGCTTGTTTCTGCTATGTTTGTGGCTATCACTACTTTTCGCGAGCCAGGTGGAGCTGGTTCGAATATTCTGGTTTGCATTTCCGAAGGAAGTGCGGAATAGACAGGCAAAATTATTAGTTCTGGCACATCAGGACCAAGAGACTTCATACGTTCATATAAAATTTCACAAGCAGTATCGATCTCCTCTTGACCAGTTAAGAAAAGAAGTATATCACCCGGTGGCTCTCGCAAGTGTATTTGCATTACCGTTATAAGCGCTGCATCTAGATAATCTGTTTCTGGCTCTTTCGTGTACATTACCTCTACTTCAAATGTTCTTCCAGGAATAGTGAAAATAGGTGCTTCGAAAAAGTACTGTGAAAACTTGACTGCATCCAGGGTGGCACTTGTCACGATCAGTTTCAGATCTGGCCGTCTTCCTACTGCTTGCTTCAATAATCCAAACAGAACATCGGTATGAATTGTACGTTCATGTGCTTCGTCCAACATTATGACAGAGTATGTTTTCAAATCTAAATCCATCAGACACTCTCGGAGCAGCATACCATCTGTCATATACTTTATATTAGTTTCTGGACCAGTACAATCTTCGAAACGAATGGTGTAGCCGACTTCTTGTCCTAAACGGCAACCAAATTCTTCTGCTACTCTCTTGGCGACAGACATAGCGGCAACTCTTCTAGGCTGAGTACAGCCGATCTTTCCACGTGCTGTAAATCCTGCTTCAGCTAAATACTGTGTAATTTGAGTAGTTTTTCCTGATCCTGTTTCCCCAATTACGATTAAAATTTGATTATCCGTAACAGCTTTCACTAAATCATCTCTAAGCTTGTATATCGGTAAGCTTTGACGCTGCTCGAGTAAAGTTAAATTTGTTTTCTTTCCAAAGGATGATTTTTTTCCACCTATTACATGCTTCTTCCATTCGGGCAAGTCTTGAGTTTGAAGACCAATTCCACGCATATTCGCTGCTAGAGTCCTACTTTCGGCTGTAAAGATAAAAACAAAAATAGTATTATATTACTCTAAACTAAGAGACTTTACAAAAATATATACAAAAATTAATTTACCTTCCGGTAAAGGATCAATCCAATTTTTATTAAGACCCGTAGGAACAGAATCCATTTCTTGCTCCCTCTGTAACATTTTCTGTTCCCTCCTTTCTTTCGCTAGCGCACTTTGCATCATAGCAGCCTGCGCTAAAGAACCATCAGGATTCTTTACAATACGAACGGGACTTAAATCTCCGAGAGCTCTTCCATGCCCATGCAGAAACGGTGGTTCCTCTTCTACTAATTCAATTTCGACATCTTCCTCTTCGTCGTCTTCACGGGGAAGAATACCAGTTTCCATATCAAATTCTGGCAATTCACTTCTACAGTGGAGAAAACGAAACAAGTAATGAAAAACGTTTTTATATGCTAATTGTTTTTTAAGTACAATTAAATATATGCTTCTTTAATACAGGCATCATTAAAAATGTAACCAATACCTGTCGATACACGATGCTGCGAGCATTTGCTTTATCTCCCATTTCTCAGGAGATGATAACCTTTGTACTCGTTTCCTAGAGCAAGTTTCATCCTCGTCCCAGTTACCTTGAAGTTCTAGCAGCGAAGTAGGTCTGTCAGGATTGCGCAAATGCTTCTCGTCCTCTTCGGTCTTGGTAACGGTGACAACTGGGTTTAAATCTCTGCCCGTTACTTGATCGACGTCTTTCATACTTAAGGAAACCTGGAAATATTTTATTCAAATAGTGAAAATCATGGATAAGTTAGAATCATATTCATCTACTATTATGTCTTGTACCTTTTGTCCTCCGATATTAAGTACTTTTACAAGAACTTTCTGACCCCTAGACACTACATCGCTTGCACTGGCAACTCGTCCCTCTCTTCTTAACTGTGAAATGTGAACAAGTCCCTCCCATCTACGTTTCAGGCCTTCCAATTGCACAAAACAACCAAAAGGCACTATGTTAGCAACCTTGCCTGAATAAATTTTACTAACTTCTGGATCCATGGAAAGTTCTTCTATAGATCTTGATCTAGATCGATCCGATACATGTCTATTAGAGTATTTATCTCTATGAGATTTTGACGTTCTATCCCGTGACCTTGATCGTTTACGATCCCTTGATCTGTGATGCCTCCTATCTCTGGATCTTGAACGATCTCTTGATCTCGAATGAGACCTAGACCTATGTTTTCTATCCTTACGGTTAAATGATCGTGACCTGTGTCTTCTCTTTTCTTTCGATCTGCTTCTCCTAGAATGCTTACTTTTTTTGTCATTATCAGATGTTTGAATATCTTTTTTATTTTCGTTGCCAGACTTTTTATTCGACGGTGCCAATTCTTCTAAACTTGCCATAGCGCTGTTAACTATATCGTCGTCTTTCAGATCTTTAGTCTCTACCACTTTTGGTTCTTCGTTTGGCAAAGCCAAAGCAGGAAATTTTTGTGCCAGCTCATCTTTTTTAGTCGTTGGTTTTAATGGCTTCTCTTGCATTGTTTTGGATGGCTTCATGTGCTGTATTATTCTCAACAAGTTGGCCATAAATGATTCCTGTAAAACCAATATAATATTACAATATTTATAAATACAACCAAAAATTGACAAAAGTTCAAAAATTACTTACAGAAAACTCTGCTCCATTCTCAACTAGAACTTTCTTGAACTTATCTAGGGTATTATTCTTCTCTGCTAAATGGATTATGTATTCCGCTATAACAAAAACAGAAAATGTAAGTAATAAATGAATCGATAAAGATTATTTAATGTAAGAAGGTGCTGTAATATAATTTTATAATCATAAAATTAAATCATTGTTTATACCAAACAGAAGAAAAGAATTTCTTACCTAAATCTTTATCATTCAATCCCAAGTGATTCTCCAATTCTGTACAGATTTTCGATACTAATGACAAGTGTTCGAGTTTTGTAACTTCGTCCATTTTTATGTTTGCATTTACAGAATTAAAATTAAGCAATTAGAAAATTAATTAACGTGATTCGGTTTGTAATATCTGCTGAAAAATGCAGTAGACAAACGTTTGCAAACAAAAAGGATGTTTCCTGTTAATGATCACACAATTTTAACTTTTGTTACAGAGTATTGAGTGTTACACATACAAATGAAACGTGCTTTCATTTTTTTGAGCAACGAAAGATATTCGAACTATGAATGATAATCATTTCGTGTAGACAAAGAGAACGACAAATCACAACAAATGTTTCTTCAATTGAAGCGTTTCACATTTTATAGTGGACTGTAGATGACTGTAGAGTGCAGTAGAGTGTAGACTGTAGGCTGTAATAGGTGTTCGATTTTGAATCGAGTATAGAAAATCTCGATCTTTTCGAGATAATTTTTGTGTTCAATTCTAACTAACATAAATCACAGTAGTGATGGGCAAAACCCTAGGCTTCGAATAAATCTAAAGTTTGCTGATATGTTCATCTCGCTTCCTCTTTTGAAAATTTTCCAAAGAAGGAAACGAGACAAACATATCGACAAACTTCAGATTTATTCGAAGTCTAGGTCTAGGGTTTTGCCCATCTCTGTCTAGCAGTCTATAGTTATATAGTAAAAGGGACTGACAAAATTGGACAAAACTAGACAGTATTAGACTGGGTTCGTGGGTGCATTATACAACGATCTCATGATTATGTACTTCATGGATAGTCGCTGGTGTCGCTTGGCGTTTGTTGGCGTTTGTGTTGGCTGGTTGGCAGCGATTGATAGCATAATAGCGCCGCCATCATAGTTTATTTTTGAGATCAAACGATAACCTATAACCTAACAAACGCGACTAAACTCAACGAATGCTACGTTTACGTTTGTAGTAAAAATAACAAGTATAGCTGCTATTTTCCTACAAAAATCGCTCTAATTCATAAACTGTGAACGTGTTGCTTGCTTGTAAAATGTTTAGAAAAGTGTTGCGCCGACGTGTTGTGAAAATTTAGTTAAATTAAATGTACGTTCCTTGCTTTAGGAAATTTTGTATGCTCGTGAAAAATTACTTGTATAACAAAAATGCCAAAAAATCGATTGATTACGCGTTCGGTAACGAACACTCGACCGTCCCATATGACTTTAAATTTGGAATGTGCGGAAGAGCCGCTCAGCGAAGCGCAATTAATGTTACAACTAGAACTGAAGGAAAACTATGACAGGGTAATGTCGCAAAACTCAGTTAGATCCTTAGCAACCTATCAGAGATCGATAACACATTTATTTTTATTGCTTCAGGTTGCTGCTACTTTAGAGGAGTTGGTTAAAGACCATGGAGGTAAATTGGTATGTCAAGCAGGCAATGTCAACGGTTATCAGTATACACTGTATGTATTTTTTATTATCTTTTTGCAAGTGTTACTTGTTTACAAACTCAGAGTTCTTTTTCTATGTCAGGCCTCCGCACCCTGCGCCAGCAGTAGTTAAGAATAATCCTCCGTCAATGGTGAGCGTAGTGAGTATCATAACAAAACAATATAATCGTCTATGAGACTCTATGTTCGTATCTTTTGCAGAATCAAACTAAGGGCCAGCCGATCAAACTCAATGTACTAAACAATGCAAATGGATCTCAGAGTAATATACAGTTGGTAGTGGACTCTAGAATGGGAGTTATTCTGGGATCTGTGGCTCAGCCTCAAGGTAAAGAGTTCTTTGTTCATAAATATATTCCCGTTAAAATGTCCAAGTTGCATAAATTGCAGGAACAACCATGACAACTGCTTCGTCGGGCCCTATATCCACTCCAGCGCTAACTTCCGCATCAACGTCCACATCTATGGCCAACACTATACCTACAATTTCACACCCCCAGACAGAAAATGTAGGAATGTTGTTTAATGTATGTTTACTTGAACTAAACATTATATTAAAAGTGTACCGATTACTTTCAGTATAAATACACAAGATCTGGGCGCAGGACAAAGGTGCTCCAAGTGCAACAACCTGACATAATAGAGGAAGTATGTTGTTCATAAATATTATTTTGCTTATAGAACTACACCACCTTCGCAATTTTGTATAGAAACTACGCACACTCGGACAGAATGGGCTTTTAAAGCTTTTTTGTAGCAGTTTATAAAAAAATAAATTATTGACCAACTTTTTCAATATCTTAAAATCTAAATGAAATTTTAAAACAATGTTATGCCATAAAGAAAATAACTGTACCCGTATTTGAGTTATTACTGTCTTATACTTTAATGGAATTGTCCAAGTGGTACAACTCCTTAATAATTTTGTTATTGAATTTCTTATGCGACTTTGTATAGCCCGTGTTGATCACTCGAGGAAGGCAAAAGGTGGGATGTCCGACGCATGTTGTTACACCAAGTAAGTTGGGAAATATTGTCTTTAAGTTCATCGTAAATTTGGACAAATTTTAAAATAATGAAAATAATTATATTTTCCAGCTACTACTAGCCCACAAGGTGTAACCAATCTCCGAATAAAGACAGTAAGCAAGCAGATTGCACCAGTGGTGGTGTCAGCACCAACGTCAACCGTAAGTACCACTACAGGGGCAATAACCAAGGTATCGGTAGCAAAGCCAACGGAACACACAAGCATTGGTGGAATATCGGTCGGAAATAAAAATTCAGGTTAGAAGAATTTATGGGTGATTAAACGAGTGTAAAGTAAACAGTACGAAACAAATAGGGCCTTTGATCAGTTAAGTGCAACAATTTTTCGATTCAGCTTTGGAACAAGTTGACGAAGCAAAGAAGAATCTCCCAGATGGTAGAGAGGTAACGTTCAACAAAATGAACGGTGGCAGGACATTTCCTTCGTTGGTCGTCATTGCCAGACCGAATCTTCGCACCAAAGATATCGCTCCACAGGTGGCGCAAAAGGAAAGATCAGAGTTAGGTATTTATCAAAATTTCTTGTTAGGATCTATTTAGAATAGTATAATATCACTGGAAAAGGTGATAAACGATACTTGAGTTATTTTACTTATTTTACATTTGTACTCTATACGAGTTGCTGATACATTTACACACATTTCAGACATCAAAGTGAAAAGTGTGCTAATGTTTTCCGCAACGAAGTTCGCCGAATGGCTGATACAGCAAGGTCTGGTCAAGTCCGAGCAGTACTGCGTCCAGCATAGCAACAATTACCAAAAGACTAAACTGAAACTGGGAATGTACAGCGATCAGGGAACGTTCCCCTACTCTGGAGGATACGTGTGGATTTCCAGCTGCTGTCCAGACCGCTACGTGTCCGTGTTCTCTGGTTCCATCTTCCAAGGAGCGCCATACACGCCTACCGTTCTCTTAAAATTAATTTATCATTGGGCGTGCCAGACGAATGTCCAAAACGTTGTTTCCTGGGTTAAAGTGTCCAATCTGTACGTAAAGAATTTCTATACCCACTTGCGCAGCGTTTGCACGGCCGCCATCTGGGATAAAACGCGCAAAATGGGGGGGAAGAATTCTGTGATACAAGTAGGCGTAATCAGCTTAGGGACAACGTCGCAGGACGGGAACCTACGACAGGTGAAGGTCGAAGTGCTCGGCGTGCTTGATTATTCCACCCTAGATTTGAGATTGAAGGCCTGCGATCCCATGCAAGACGGCGACAGATCGTACAAACGACGTTTCAACAATATTCTACATCCACTGAAGGACTGGGTACACACCGACTCGAAGATTATGACAGATTTCACCGTAGATAAAAGTACCCTTGAAGAGATGGGTTTTACCCACATCACCCAGTCAGCGTTCACCGACCAGAGTTCCCGCAACGTCATGAGCAACTTTCACATTATGGAGTATCTGAGGAAGATAGTTCCCAGAATGTTCCAAAATACTCTCAGCCTGCTCAGCAGGCAAATGATCCAGCAGTTTCTAGACGAACTAGTGTGGCGAGAAATATACGGCTCCACCGCTGGAAGAGCTTTCGACAACATAATCGCGCATATCGCAGAGCAAACCAGGATCTACTCTGATGAGGGTTTGCTAGATCGTCTAGCGAAAATAGCAGCGAATCCCTTTCAGAACTGGTCGTATTCGAACCTGAGTCTTCCTCCACTGGCGCAACTCGTGACCATAAATAAAGAAGATATTCAGTCGGGTTGCGACGTTTTGGTTCATCAGACGAGTACCACTGGTAACGTTAATCAGCAAGAAGCGATAACTTTTGGCCAAGCAGCGAAGCCTGGACCACGAAGAGGACGCAAGAGGAACATAGTGACCACGGCTAGCCCAGAACCCGAAGGAAAGAAAGCTATGCTTGATTCCAAAGCTACCAGAGACAAAGAGGGCAAAGGTGAACAAATACAACTGCAGGAGTTTTACTACGCCACCATGGAAGGCGACAAGAACATTCTTTCCAAGGAGTACAAATGCTCCTTGTATTTCAAGTGCTTCCTCTGTACGACAACCATGCGCTCCAACACCGATGTAATGGAGCACATGATCAGTCATGTTCCCCCCCAGGTACCTGGACAATCCAACTCGCCCGTGTGTCGTTACTGTTGCACAGCCTTCTCCTCTCAGCATCAAATGGTCACCCACGTTACAGAGGCGCACAGTAATTTCGGTCATTCGGACAGCGATATGGTTGTTTGTGCCATTTGTGAGCAGAAATTCGGAAACAGCGGTCTCCTCATAAACCACCTGTCTTCCATGCATTATCCTTCTGAGATGCCTTATCGATGCGAGACCTGTTCTTATCGCACTTCCAGCCATAAGGATGCCATAGACCACTTTTATAAAATTCACGAAAAAGGCGAGGGCCTACAGTGTCCTTACTGTCTGAAGGTGATACAATTCGTCAGCGAGGGTAGTCCCAGCGCTACCAGCGTCCACGCTTTTCTGCTACACATGCAGAGGCACGTTATTAGAAGGGAGCAAGGACGGGGGAACAAGTGTTCCAAGTGTTGCCTTTGGTTCAATCAAAAGAGCTCGTTGAAGGTTCATCAAAGGGAATTGCATGACTGTGTTTCCAGTTCGAAGGTCGTCCCCTATTCCAGTGGTAGTGGTACGATAATGGTCTCGAAGCAAAGGCCGCAGAACAGAAGATTTGACGTAGACAGCCCTGTGACGGAATTGCCTCGCGATGAAAGGGTAAAGAAGTGGGTCACAGGTCCGATTACAGTGAATGTTCCTGTCGCGAATCTCTCTTGTCAGGAGTGTGAGGAAGACGTGGAAGAACAAGATCATTATCCAGGCGAACAAAGGTGTTACCAGTGTCGCTACATAACCTGCTGTTGGCGTGCATTCAAGGAACATCAACAACAAATTCATAACGAACGACCTATGACTAGCTTGGTGGTTCCC